GATCAACAGCTATGAGGACTACGGTGACAGCTCAACTCAGCCACTCGAATGCCCTCAGGATGTCAACACACACCCAGGTGAAGACCAGAACCTGTTCAGTTCAGATCTGTTGAGGGTAAGGTATATTATGCGTGCGTGGGCGCAAGTCTTGTGTGCCAGAGTGAAATTGCTTTACTGTGATGGCGCTGAGATGGCTTGGCTGCTCCTGGTCTTCCGTTTTCTGTTTGGTGGCGCGTTTTTTGTTTGATGGCGCGTTTTCCGTTTTCTGTTTGCTTACGCGTTTTCTGTTTGATCACGCGTTTTCCGTTTTCAGTTTAATTGCGCGTTCTTTATTTTTTTTTTTTTTTTTTATTATTTTTTTTTTTTCTTAACCTCTCTGTCTCTCTTCTTTGTTTGCTTTTGCTCCCTCACTCTCTTAATTTCCTTAAATTTTCTATTTTCCTCTCTCTCTCGCTTTTTAATTTCTTTCCTATATTTTCTTTTTTTCTTCTTCTTAGGTCTTTCTTTTGCCTTGAGTGTTTTACGTATGCGTGTATAAATCTGCCAATAGGTTATATGCAACATATGCCTTATAATATTTTTTTCTCAATATTTTAATGTTTATACAAATGTACGTATAGACAGAAATAAATGTATATACACATACATTTGCAATGCCGCCGAGGAAAATGAATAAAAAATGGGGGAAATGCTGTGCTCATTTTTAACAATTTTTGTGGAATGTCTCTACACATAGATGGTTCTGCTAGTGCTTAGCCACAAAATAGACCTTGCGACCTGATTTGAATTAGCAGGGAACATGTATTATTTACTATTGCTATAAATATCGATATGTTATAAACATTAGTAATGTTATGTTATAATGTTATAAACATTAGTAACAGCAAAATAGGATACCGTAAAATATTTTCGTAAATCAAAGAAAAGGGTAAACGGGCGAGACAGGCAGTACTCATAATTAGCTCATTGGGGAGTTAGTACAAGTGTAGCCATCTATGTGTAAAAACAATCAAACAAGCAACTCACAATTATCATAGCACGTACGTACACGTCGACATTGAGTAAATGTGTGTGTGTGTGTGTACAGTAAATATATATATAGACGTATATATAAATATATATATATATATATATATATATATATATATATATATATATATATACATACATATATATATATATATATATATATATATATATATATATATATATATATATATATATATATAATGCATACACACACGCACACACACACACACACACACATGTACACACACACAGATATATGAATATATATATATATATTTATATATATATATATATATATATATATATATATATATACATATATACGTGTATATATATATAATGCACACACACACACACACACACACACACACACACACACACACACACACACACACACACACACACACACACACTCACTCACTCACACACACACACATCTCTTTATATATATATATTTAATATATATACATATATATGTGTGTGTGCCCCCCCCCTATATATATATATATATATATATATATATATATATATATATATATATATGTATATATATACATACATACATATATATATATATATATATATATATATATATATATATATATATATATGTATATATATATGTAGATATATATACACATACATACATATATACATACACATATATATTTCTATATACCTATATCTATCTATCTATCTCTATATATGATACAAGCAAAGCGGTAATGCCTCGTGCACCTTAGAACCTGTCCCTTCCTCCCGCCCTCAGGTGGTGAACCACGAAGGGCGCAGCGAGTCCTGGCGAAACCCCCTGGCCGGCCCGCGCGACGCCCCGGCGCGACACACGTCTCCCAAGCAGCAACTGCCGTCCCCCTCGACGCCGCAGTCGCCCCCGGCCGCCTGCTCGCCCCAGCTGCCGTCGTCCTCCGTCGCCTCCGGCTGCGTCATGGTGGAGATCGAGGTGGACGTGAACAAGCCTCGCGCCGCCGACGGGAAGAAGAGCCCCACCCAGGCCAACAACGGCTCGCTCGCTGAGGACAAGAGCGCCGATCTTTTCCACGCCTTCAAGGGGCACTGCAAGAGCAACCAGAAGGAGATGGTGAAGCTCACGGGCTTCACGCAGAGGAGGGGGACGCCGCCCCACGCCCTCACCAAGTACGACTCGGGCAGGAGCTCCGACGACCAGGTGTGCCTCGACAGGAAGCTCTCGTCGGACTCGGGGGTGTACGTGGACTCGCGTCACAAGAGGAACGCCCTGCACGACGGCGCCCCCGGCCAGGCGGCGGCGGACAAGGGCGAGGCCGGGGAGCTCCGTCGAGACCCCAGCATCGAGCTTGCGTGCATCGGGGGCTTCGGCAGCGACACGTGAGACCGCCGCCGTCACAGCTCTTCGGACTGAACTCATTCGCACAAATGTAGATACGTTTCCATACAAAGACTTTACAGTGTAGTTTTTAGATTTAACACACAC